GGGCGCCCCGGCCCCCCCGTCCCCCACGCCCGGGCAGCCTCCTGTGACGTAGAGGATCGGCTCCCACGTGTCGAGCGTGCGGACACCGAGAACCCTTGGGCTGAGAAGGCCAGCATGAGCAGCAGGACGTGGCTGGGGGGCCCGCTCGCGGACGTGGCTGGGGCCCATGCTGACTACGACAGATAGAAATAGAGCTACTTTTCCTGCTGCTCCTTCCCAACACCTCGGTGTCCTCGCCTGAGACCAGCCCAAGTGGGACTAGGGGTATCGAGGAGCACCACCCAGGTCACGCGGGCCCCCACCTGTTTTGCTAGTGCATGGAGGTGGAAAACGCTAGTGCCCCCCGCCAAGAGCAGCCGGGAAGGAGTCGTCTCTACTCACAAAAGTCCCACATGGATCTGGGCCTCTTCAGTGCCACAGCCGTCCCCGCAGGCAGACTCTTCGGCATCTTCACTCCTGAACACAAGGGGAAAGCCCGGCCTTACTCCGAAGGGAACCGGCTCCTGCAGAGCTTGCAGACGCTCTGGTGTGTCTTACCGAGAAGGGCGCCGTGAGGTCGTGACACAAATAAACTCCCAGTCCCCGGGATGCATGGGGTGCCTCACTGGGTACCCACCTGCAAGCTGCTGATTTTTTAATACTGTTTTGTCGTCACTGTTGCGTGTTTAGAAAAGAACTCTGTATGCATTCAGGCAGTGTCCAGAAACGAGCCCTCAGCTCGTCTGCAATAAGGGGAAGGCCTTACAGACACTTGAGCACGACCGATGTACGAGCAAAATGAAGCCCGCAATTCTAAAGGGCATTTTACCATGGCAAGGGATTCTCGTAGCGAAGGAAAGGAGGGAGAGAGCGGAACTCCATCTCTAATAACGGTGCTTTCCCCCGGAGCAGGTCTCTCGTGCATTGGTCAGGCTTAAGGAGAAAGGAGCCACCCAAGGACTCTGAAGGCGCCAGGGAGGCCGGAGGAGATTTCCTTGTGGGGTTCTAAGGCCCAAAGTCCAAAGAAGCTAGAAAAATACTCTGCCCTCGCACACATACGCGAAGGTGCGCTAGATAAAGTCTCAGTGCCTCTCAGGAATATCTGCTAAATCTGCTTGGGGAGAAGGGAGTAATAGGGCCCACTCCGAACCTTTTGGTCTGAGGTTCAAATACTCCGCTGTCGCTCGCTAGCGAATAATCCGACAGGCACGCAGAGACACGGCGTGCTCTCCTCTCCAACCTCTTGGCGCTGTCTTCTCGAAGAGTCACTGCTGCAAATAAGGGACAGCCAGAGGTCAGGGGGTGACAGCGCGGGAGGTCCGGGGCCCCTACAGAGCACACACAGCCCTGATGCCCCCGAGACGTGCACACGCAGACAGGCCACGCTCAGTGAAGAAACGGGCTGCAGGCGACTTCCTTCAAAACTGCCCGTTGCCGAGCACACAGAGCGCGAGACGACAGTGGCAGCCCCAGAGGCCACGGCAGGCTCAGCTGTGCC